CACAGTGTGGGCTCATGGTTCCAATCGCTGGAGCCACCATTAAACACTGTGGCAGCAGCAATAGCCGGCTCCTGACTTATCATACATGAATAACACAGTTTTAAAAAAACAAATGTATGGTTAAAAAAGTTAAAATCAGAAAAATTCCATATGCTTCAAATAGTTGTTTAGGTAACAGAGAAGATGATACAAAGTTTAATGGGCATTTTGAAACTGGAGCTACTTTGTTGTTGCAGCTGTGGATGGACATCAGATATTAAAATATCAGGTATCAAATATTAACAGTGCCTATAAAAAGTATTCACCCCCTGGGATGTTTATAAATCAATCATGGTCAGTATAATTTGGCTTTTTTGATTAAAAAAAAATAAATCATTAAATGTCAAAGTGAGAACAGGATTCTACAAAGTAATGTCATTTTATAATAAAAATATGTTATGGGAAATAAGTGATTGCATAAATATTCATCAACCTTCAGTATTTAGTAGATGCACCTTTGGCTGGAGTCACAGCACTGAGTCTGTGTGGATAGGTCGCTGTCAGGCTTGACATCTGGACACTGCAATTTTACTCCATTCTTCTTTGCAAAACTGCTCAAGCTCTGCCAGGTTGCGTGGGGATCGGGCATGAACAGCCCTTTTCAAGTCCAGCCACAAATTCTCTATTGGATTGAGGTCTGGGCTTTGACTCAGCCACTCAGAACAGTCACCTTGTTGTCTTTAATATATTTCTGTGTAGCTTTCGCTGTGTGCTTCAGGTCATTGTCTTGCTGAAAAACAAATCTTCTCCCAAGCCGTAATTCTCTTGCAGACTGAATAAGATTGTCCTCCAGGATTTTCCTATATTTTGCCGCATTCATTTTACCTTCTACCTTTACAAGCCTTCCAGGGCCGGCTGCTGAGAAGCATCTCTCGTTTGGTGTCCTCTAAATGTAGCTGCTTGTCTGATGGCCAAAAAGCACCATTTTGGTCTCATCAGACCAAAGAACTTTCTTCCACTTGACCATCGAGTCTCCCACATGCCTTTTGGCAAAATCTAGTCGAGATTTAATGAGTTTTCTTTAACTGTGGCTTTCTCTTTGCAGCCTGAATTCATTTATTCAGGCTGCATGGATTAGCCATGTGTTCGCCTGCTTCTTTATTTAGTTTAAAGGTGGTTTTTTTATCCTTTATTGTACATGTAATTGTTGAGCAAGAGTAATTTGGAAATTATTCATTTGTATTATTCATAGATATGCTGTCTGGATTAATGTGTCTGTTTAGATTAAAAAGATTGGACCTTGTGGTACTAGATGTGATCTGTACCATTACAGTAGTTGCCTGTTTACCAATTACCCATGTAGCTTTATTACATTCTAACAGATAACACTGACTCTTAATCCCTCATTCCTGATGCCCTGTATTTTGTTTGGATTGATACTGTAGGTTGTAATTTAATGTGGCCATGAGTCAAGACAACCCATAGCAACAAACAGCAGAGTGGCAGCACCATGCTGAAGGTTCACCCAGGACTAATCTGTGGCTTGGCTTTCATCCATTGTAGTAGCAAATTGGTCAGGTTACGCAGAGGCTGTCATTCAAGATTAGTGTTGGACATCTAAAGTAAATTCTGGCTTTTGTTTGGATGCAGTTCATTCAGTCCTCCCTTAAGCAGAGTTAGGATACAGAGAGACTGATCCCTGTGTTCATATGTAACTGTTTAGGACTCATCATTAATACCATCTTCTTGTGTAACTGGATCAATAAATAGTCTATTTATGTTGTAAAGTGCCTCTGGGACTAGTGACGTTTAGTCTGAAGACTGACCTCACTGTTTGAGTGCAGAATTAATTCCCTGATTTATACAGTCGCAAAAAATTAATTGATAACCATTTTATAGTAAACTCAAATCAAATTTGTGAGCTCAGGGAGAGTCTGTTTCAAGCTTGTTCTGGTTAGCGCAAAAGCAGCTGAGCCACACAACCGAGCTAGAATGTATATTGGAATAAAAGGAAAAAACGTTGATAAAAGTCTGGCAAATAATGTGATAAACTGCTGCTTTTTATGCCGGTTTAACTGAATCCCTCTAGTTTCAGCTGATCTAAAAATGTTACCTTTGGCCCTGGTAAATTGATATCAAGCTAATGTTGATAGCAATGTTTCTAATAGAATTAAATCCGACTGCTGCAATCTGTGTCAAAAATATCACTTGGTCATAACTCAGTTAAATTTGAACACATAGACCTGTTGCACATATTTTTAGCTTCAGTGTGACTTTCACTTTCTGAGGATAACCATCAGGTATCCGTTTATTTTTTTTTTACCTGCACCCATATGCAAGTATGAAGGGCAACACTGCTTCCATGGTTGGGTGTAGTGGAGGAGACTGCAGTACTCTGGTAAGCTCTCTGTGAACCCTCTGGGTCAGCTCTCGCCAGTCTAGGAGGCATCAGGTTGTCTTGCAGGAAAAGCGAGAGGGCTTGGTTGGTGAAGTCCCCCAGGTGTTGGATGCCCCGGTGGGCATGTTGTTTCAACATATTGAAGGCTCAACTGTGACACGAGAGGTAGACGTCATACAGTGGAGTGGATCTGTGTAGCACAGAAACTGAACAAACTCAGGAGAATAACTGAATGGTGGACAGGGGAGCTGAGGTAGGTATGAACTCCCACTGGCAACCTAAGATAGCAGACTGGTTCCTTCCAAAAGACAGGAGACAGTATGCAGGTCAGACACAAAACCTGAATGCATTTACAGGCCCCACGGAGAGCAGGGACAACACAAAAGGACCAAAAACAGAGCAGCTAAAATTAGGTAGTTAAGCTAATCTGTAACAGGAAAGACTTTAGCACTGCAAGAAAGTGTGCATAAGCAATAAAAATCACAGAAGCAAAAACTGTCCTCTACAGCTGGCAAACAAAATCAATTGAGCTCAGTAAAGGCAAAATAGAAAACAGAGTGAGGGCACAGGTAGATAGCGTTCTGATAAAACAAGGTATTTCTGATGACTGTCACCTGTGTTAAATCAGGTGAAGTTTATTTACCAGTCTGTGTTGTCAGTGCTACAGTATGCCGGTGTTAGCATTTTATGTGTGTGTGTGTAGTTGTGCTGGTCATGCTAGTATTTTTTTTTTTTTTAGCCTTGTTTCTTGCGTGTTTGTAACAAAGCAGAGATTGTAATTTCATGACGTCTGCTGTGAATGCTCTTCATGCACGCATGCACATTCACTTAGCTTTAATGTTACTCAACAGGAAGGAAATATGACAACAGGAAGCAGTAACAATCCCGCCCTTTTACTTTGTGTGTGTGTGTGTGTGTGTGTGTGTGTGTGTGTGTGTGTGTGTGAGGACCTCTCTTCTGCATTCAGGAGAATTCAGTAATACTGTAACAAGCACTTTCTACACAAAAAGGCCATTGACTTGGTTTCTATTTGTGTATCTGTCTTACACTCACATATTAGCATATTTACCAGACAGGGACAGAAAGAAAGAGCGAGTCAGTGCCAAACTCGTACTGGGCTAGCCCATGGTTGCCATGGAGACAAAGCCACATGATGGTCATCAGGGAGATGGACGCTGCTGACCTTTTAGAGAGGGGGAGGGGTGTGATAGACTGCTAGAGAAGTGATGGAAAAATATATGGAGAGGATACAATGAGAATGTCTTCACACGTTTTGACCTAGAAAAGGGAAAGCAAAATGACTTCTTCAAAATGATATGTATTTTTTTATCAAATATCTATGCATGTTACCTGTATTCTCCTATGTGTGTTTCTGGCCAAGAGTAGTGGAAAGTAAGTCTGCACTGGTGCTGATTTGCAGGTAGGATGTTTTTGGTCCAGCTTTTTTGTCAAAGGTGTAGTGGCAAGAACGAGATATGTACAGTGAATAAGCTTTTAAACATGGGAAGTGTGTGTACCTGTGGCATTGTTAACTGGAACCTCACAAGGTCATACATTGAATGACTTTTGAAAGTTTACGTGCAAAAATTGAAACGGTTCAGTATCAAATACTGAAAGACAAGGTCATGCTCACAATCAAAGGCCTGGAGGTGTAGTAAGGAATCAAATGACCGTCTAATGTGAAAAGAGTTGCTTGCAGTGCTAGACCTACCAAGAATCAGCAGGCAGGTGGTCGTTTGCAGCAAAAAAAATCTCTAAACACCCACTGTACACCTGCACAGCCTCGAACAGCAGACAGACCCAGCAACTGGCTGGTGAACACAGTGAGGCATTCAGTAGCTGAAGAGACCAATATTTCCCTCAGGAGGTTATTGAAGACCAAAACACAGTGAATACTGGGCTTGTATTTGTTGCATGAACAGAAACACGACTCCAAATATATGCTAATGTTATGCCACATCTGCTGGATGTTTGAATTGAAAAATATGTATATGGTAAATATGTGCCATTTTACAGGTTGCTTCGCTGACCCCAAGTAGCCATAAAATCATTTAATCCTGCTTTAAAAGCCAATTCATACTCTGTGTCTACTATGATCCAATTATGTAAATTTTGCCATCTTCTCCAGTTAGCAAGGACTCTGTGTGGAGATCTGCATGGAGGCCAAAATTTTGTGTCCGTACAGACTGCCTGTTCAACAAAAAGCTCGACAGTTCATGCACCAGAATGGGGTCGTACATGGAAAAAGGTTAAAGCATAAATAGGAGCGCACACATCCCTTGCTTGTGTCTGCATGAGGTATGCGGAGAGTGTAAATTGTGTGTATGTATGCGTCGTTGATGCACTGGTACAACAGTCCAACCCAAATTCATCAGTGCTGCAGGGAGGTGATGAGAACTGCACAAAACAAAGTCTTTCACACCTTTAAAATACGTTTCAAATCCATGAATTTGTTGTCCTGCTGTTGTGCAGTTGGACTGAATTGTAAAACAGATGTTTGTAATTGGGAAAATTAAACAAAATGACCCCCCATTTTCACAAAGCAGGAAATCTTTTTATAACAGTTAATTGGAAGCTATCCAGTTGGAGGCTTTGTGACCTTTGACCTTTGCCTTATGTGTAGGTCTTCACCACCTACTCTAATGAAGACTACGATCGACGTAACGAGGACGTTGACCCCATGGCAGCTTCGGCCGAGTATGAACTGGAGAAGAGAGTGGAGAAACTGGACCTATTCCCTGTTGAGCTGGAGAAAGGTACACACACATCTTGCCAGTTTCTGAGAGTCACTCAGTCAAGCTTCTTTTGTAACTACCCAAACGCACAGTAACTGATGGGGAGCTGTTAGCGGACATACACTGTCTTATCTGCTAACAGGTCCATTATCCCTTCATGGGATTAAATTTAGTGGGGATTAGCCTAATTATCAGATGGTAGCTCTGGAAGTAATGGATCTATAGATACTGTATTAACAGACTGAGACTGGGAGCTGGTTCCACAGGAGAGGAGCTTGATAGCTAAAGGCTCTGCCTCCCATTTTACTTCCCATTTTAAACCACTGTATCCACAATTTAAAGAACTTTTTATAGCTGATTACAAGATGCTATCATATGCAGCCAACACTTCCTGTGCTACTGGTTTTAAAACAATGTGATACTCAAGATGATACCTCATACAGTGACATAGCAGAATTTGCAGCATGTTACCGATAGTGTCTACTTTTATAAATGTATAAAATACAAATCATTTTTCTTCACTTGATAGTTAACCTAGCATTGACAGTCACTTTGTTATCTTAAGAGAATGATTAAAGTTACTGTAGTAATTGAAATTCATCAAGTTTCTAATAGCAAACATATTGTAAGATAACATCCTACTTGTGATAAGGTACTTCCTATTTTTTGGTTTTGGGATTGTTGCATGAATAGTAGCACCAGCCACCCCAGAATCTGATTGGCCATCCCTGCTCGAGTCAAAATGCAGTGCATGTACGTATTGTTGTGGAGTACTTGGCATGATTTGCCTCTGTGGGGGGAACCACTGTGAAGCGGCGATGTCCCCGGCCAGGAGCACATAAGGAGCACAGCCAAAGTTAGCTGAAGAAAGCACTGTGTGTGTGTGTGTGTGTGTGTCTCTCAATTTTAGACAGAATAAACCATTTGATTCTTAATCATGTATGGGTTATTATTTCATAAACCTGTGGGTTTAATTACTTTTTACATATTTCAAATGGGCCACCTGAGTCTGTGCCCCAGCCTGGCAACCCTGTACAAAATATTCTATATCCACCCCTGGGGGACATCTCAGAAGCCCCGGTGCACCATTTAAAGTGTATTCTATCTGTGGTAATTTAAGCTAGCAACCATCCATGATGGCTGTACTCAGCACAGCAAAATAGCTGTAATACTGGCTGATAATTAATAGCTTTAAATATGGATACATATAATTTCAGTATTTGTTTTTAAATATTTACGTTATGTCTCTGCCTGTCTTTGTGTGTCTCTCTCAGACAGTAATGGTCTGGGTATCAGCATTATAGGTATGGGTGCAGGAGCTGATATGGGCCTGGAGAAACTCGGCATCTTTGTTAAGACGGTCACTGAGGGTGGAGCTGCGCAGAGAGACGGCAGGTACCCTGTTCACCTGTCTATATCTGTCCTTTGTGTCTCACACTTTTTCCTTTGTACAAATGATCTTTTGTCTGTGTTGTGTAAAAATCTGACACCAAACAAATTTGACTTGAACCTGTGTTTTTCTGAAAGTGAAATGAGAAGACTGATATGTGACATCATGTCTGTGCACTATGAACAAAGCTGAAGTGGAGACATGTTTAGCCTAGCTTAGTATAAACTAACTGACTGGGGGTGAGGGAGACTCTTGAGGGGCCGCTGTGGCCAACAAAACACTTGTCATGTGACAGAGTGACGCATCCAAAGGCACTGGTAGGCTAGTTCTTGGTAGCATTCTTGCTAGCTGGACTAAAAGTACTTTAAAGCTAATATCAGTTTGAAAATCACAATTCTCTCTTCCTCACAGTTGTCCCTAATAGCCCACATGTGATACTTGATGTTTTCTATTTCACCGATTAATACTAATTTCACCACAATGTCTTTAAACTTGCAATAACAGATTTTATTCACTACTTGGAAGCAGTGGAACCGTGCTGTAAAGGCCACAGTGGCATATTCAAATACATAATTACCTTTTAATTTGACATGGCAAACTGTTTCTTATTTACACATCAGGCAGATAAGGAGCAAAGTTATCTTTCTTTGGGAACCCGGTGGTGAATGAAAGTCCAGAGTTCCCTAGTGTGCCACAGTATTCGCTGGCTAGTCACTAGTTTATGCAGCTCTTTGGCAGGTACAGCACTCTGCAGAAGTCTTAGGTCACCATTAGTTTATCTGTTTTATCGAGGTTGTAATGGTAATTTATATTTATTTCTCAGTCCCTTTATTGAGATACAACCAGAAAATACAGGAAATATGTACCCAATATTTAAAAAAAACAACCCACATTTTCGGAACAAACTGCCTAATACAGGCCATAGTCAGTGTTCAGTGTGACCTCCCTTTGCACTTAGCACAGCTTGAACTCTTTTGGGGAGACGGTCTTGAAACCATGACAAACCCTCCACCATGTTTCACTGAAGGCTGTGAGCACTCATTCTTCCACCTCTCTTCAACTCTTCTTCTCACATACTGTCAGTGATTGGAGCCAAACCTTTCAAACTTTGATTCATCACTCCTCTTTTCCACTGATCTTCACTCCAATCTTTCGAAGCTCTTGCGTATCTCAGCCTTTTCTCCCTGTCCCCTTCTGAAAAACTGGTTTCTCGGCTGCTGTCCTTCCACAGAGGCTGCTCCTGATCGAGCATCTGACTGTGGAAGGATCAACTTGGCATCTAGATGAAGCTGCCAGATGCTGAGCCAGGTCACTGCTGAATTTCTTTCGGTGTCTAGAAACTCTAGAAACATCTCATCAGATTTTGACATTTTTCTTGCTCTTCCACTCCTGTTTTTGTCCTCGACCTCTCCGGATTCTTCAGATTTCTTTAGAATAACTTGATACCACATCTCGAGTATCCATTTTGTTTGCTGATTTTTTTTTCCTGACATTTTTGTATTTTTTTAATATTCAGTACATATTTCATATATTTTCTTGTTGTATTCTGACAGATAAAAACATATATAGTCATCATATTATTGCTAAAACAACAAATCTATTGGTGACCTAAGACTTTTTCACAGTTGCCTGTTACTGTAGAGCTTGTTTGCTAAAAACAGCTGCCTGCTGTAGCTGAAGATGACACTGTGAGAGTGAACTAAAACAGCAGTGTTGCAGGCCAGAAAAGCACAACACTGAGCTGATAATTCTGTGTTTCTGCACCAATAGCGACCACATTTACATTACACACAGTCATATGTCCCATATAATAAAATGTATTATTACCACTTTAAAATGTGGGAAATAGGTTGCAATAAAAATGGAGAACAAATATCGCTTGCTTATTACCTTGCTAGGTCCAGTGCTGGCTCCATTCATCTTCCTCTATCGACCATGAGACTCCCATCTTAGCGGTTCACAGTTAAAAGATGCACTGTACCAACACCTCTAGACCTGTCTTATTTACATAGTGTCTCTTTGTTCTTGTACAAAAGGTAAAAACATTTGGTGGTTTTAGGGCTAGTTAATATGCTGGTACTATTTCTTGGCAAATGATAGTTGTGCACAGCTTCACAAAGTCATGTTGCTACAATGAGCAAATTTCCAAAATGTTTAAACATTCCTTAAAAATTCTCAGTCACACTGAAACGTCTCACAACTACATTTTTCT